GCGGACACTTCACCAAACACACCAAGTTGGGGGGCCTGCCCCTTAGCTCAGTTCTTTAAGTGGCTGCTTCAACAAACACACCAAATTCAAGGCAGCTGCCAAGAAGGACTGAGCCCCTCTGGAATAAAGCTTTGCATAAAGTTAAAAAAAAAAAAGATTATATTAAAAACATTAGGGCTGGGGAGATGGCTTAGTAGAATAAGCGCTTGCCTGGCAAGGGCAAGGGCCTGAGTTCAATCCCCAGTTCCGCAAACAAAACAAAACAAAACATCACCACCACCACCATCATGGCATGGTGGCACACACCTGTAATCCTAGTGACATGAGATGGTTGCAAGTTTGAGCCCAGCATGGGTAACTTAGTAAGACCTTGTCTCAAAATAAAAAAGGGCAGGAGATATAGTTCAGTGCTCTTTAGATTCAATCCCCAATATCACTAACAAAACAAACACGTACACACACACTAATACAAACAAAAGCCCTCTCTCCTAAGACAAAACAAATCCCACAAAATGTGAAGTAACAAGAACTAAATGTACCTGAAATGGGCAACTGTTTCAATGACATTCTCCATGCCAGTCTCCTTGTTCTCCTACAGGGAGAGAAAACAAATGTGTGCTGTGTTAATAAGGATGGCTGCTCCGCTCTGAACACCGGCCTTTACATCAAGAACTCTCACAGCAATTCTGGGTGAGGTATTATCTCACTGAAAGAAGCTACAGCTCCACAGCAAACAGTGAGATCATACAACTGGGCAGGCTTAGCCGGCAAGCTGACATACTTACATACATACATACATTCATTCATTCAAACTAAATCTTTAAAAATAGCCACTACCAAAGGCAACCAAGAGCTTCTGAGGGAATTAAATGATTAACACAAAGTATATGACATATAAATAAAATGTATATAAAGTATGTGCTTTTTAAACAGCTGTATTATCTATTTCCACTAAAACAGTATTTCTAAGAGGTTACTAGAAATCCTATAAAATAAAGGATTCTCTGGTCAAAATGTGCAGGGAGATAGAGTTGCTATCATTTTGTACAAGGCAAGGCATATTACCTTATAAAACACACTGTTTAAAGTATGATTTTTTTTGGTGTGAGAGGACCCGGGTCTGTGGATTCCGAATAGACCCAGGAGCACAGGCCTGGTGTGTGAGAGAGACAACCCGGGGCTGCCAGATCCTGAATCGACCCAGAGCGCAGACCCGGCATGTGAGTAAGACAGCACGGGGCTGCAGATCCTGAATCGACGCACAGCACAGGCCTGGTGTGTGAATGAGACCGCCTGGGGCCCACTGGATCCTCATTCAACCCAGAACGCAGGCCCAGCGTGGAATTCTTCAGCAGAACTCCCTGCAAAGAGGCTAGAGGCAAGACCCACCCAGCTGATTCAGGAGCAGAACATCTTGCCAGAGTGACAGAAAGGGTTCAACTCCAAGGGCTGCAGCAGGAAAAAGTGGAGCACAGCAGCCAGACCCCAGCCAGATCCAAGCAACACTCACCTGGAGGAATCTGAACTTCGTAGATCCGGACCTGGTGCTAAGGTAA